GATCTACACAGTGTTGAGCATGGTGGAACGCTCGGCCACAACAGGTGCAGGTGCTCCCATCTGCTCCAAAGGTGCAAAGGCAGAGCTCGCAAGAGCAGGGCGGGTAGGGCCGATGCGCGGCAGAAGAGCGCTAAATCATGCAGAAAAGCTAGCCCAAGCCGCCGTCAGACCTGCAGCGGCATCATGATCATCAGCAGCAGCAGCGGCGGCGGCGGCGGCGGCAGCGGCAGCGGCAGCGGCAGCGGCAGCAGCCCCAGCAATGTACAGTACCTGGAAGCAGCAGCGGAATGATCAGAAAACCCTATATCAAATCTACTGCAAACCGGCGCCCCTGCTGTTGCGCAGCCAAGCCAGCAGCCGGGGCGGCACGCACCGCGAGGCGCCGCCAGGGCCGCCGCGCGGCCGCCACAGCGCGAACGCCATCGCGCAGAACGCGAGCAGCACGGCGCCGGCGTAAAAGCAGGCGAGGGCGAGGGCGCTGTCCAGCACGTGGCCGGGCCTAAGGCCGAGGGTGCGCAGGAAGACCTCGCCGCCGATGTCCTCGACCCTCGCAAAGCCTGAGACGTCCAGGACGTAGGACTGGTCGGCCATCTCATTTGCGGCGAGCACCTCGAAGGCGAAGGAGAGGGGGCTGAGGTAGCGCGCCCAGCGGATCCAGGCCGGGATCGAGCTGGGGTTGACCAGGTAGCCGCCGACAAGGACCCACCTTCGGGTTGGGTAACGTAGAAAGGTGTGGGTGGACAATGCTTTTAATAAGGAATGAGTGGTACAGAAGCCATTGCAGAAGCCATCGCTGGCGCACATGGATCTTGCTTCGCCAGGCCGCAGCAAGGAGAGGCCTCCTCAGATGAGGCCAAGCCAGTGAAACCTTTGCACTGTTGCAATGGGACCCAAAACTAGACAGTCTTATGGTCGCAGTTCCCCACCATGCCGGATCGGCTTACAGAATTCTACAGCCAGCCCTTGTCTGTTAACTCACATGAGCAGGATGATGTTCATGGCCAGGGTGGTGGCGGAGGAGGTGCGGCACAGCGCGGTGAGTGCGGTGGTCAGGGCGCCCACGGTGCAGGTGTAGGTGGCCAGCACAAACATGAAGGTCACCACGCGCGACACCTCGGGCAGAAGGCCGACCTGATTATTGGTTGATGGAAGCATCGCATCGAATGGCAGATTGATGATGAGCACAGTGGATGTCCATTGTTAGCCGTTCCTAGCACGACAACGCCATGTGACGCTGAGGTGGGGCAGGGTTTGCAGGCTGCATGACATTTGGCTCGGAGGCCTGTTCTTATGGCACCGCGTCTAAAGCGAGAAGGCAATATATGGCAACATCTGCACAATGCCTGGCAGCAGCAGCCGCGCTTACGAGCCCTGAGCAGCTGCCGCACCATGGGGTAGACCAGGGCACTGAAGAGCAGCGCCGGCAGGGTGCGCAGCAGCAGCCCGTCCAGCACCAGGCTGGACAGCAGGTAGGTGCTGCCGCTGTAGTAGTGCCCCGCCACCTCGCGCTCCACCAGCTCCCGCTCAAGCACCAGCCCGTCCACCACAGACACACTCGTCCACCCAAACAGCGCCAGGGCAAAGAACATGGCGCCCAGGCGGTTCTGGACGCCGATCTGTGACAGATCGAGTTTGAAAAAGATGGCGCCGACGACGACGCCGAGGGCGAGCGCCACGACCACGTGCAGCATGAGTAGCCGTGGCTCGCGGCGTATGTTGGTGAACGCGCGCCAGTAGAGCACCGCGCACTCTCGAACCACGCAGCCGGCCCACTCGCGCGCTTGGCCCCTGCTGCTGCTTCGCCGCGCAGCGCTGGGCAGCTGACCAATGCTGGTGCTCCCCCCAGCGCAAAGCTCGGCATTGCCGCCATCCCCGATGATTGCCGCATTGTCACTAAGCATGGTGGCCCTGCGGCTGACGTCATACTGGCCGGCCTGCACATCAACCATGAGCGCGCCTGGAGTCGAGGCCGGCCCACCGGCGCTTAGCAGTGTTGGCAGCTCAAATGTGCTGCCGGTATCTTTTCGCTGCTGCTGCTGCTGCTGTTGCTGCTGCTGAAAAACTGGGCAGCTGCACGAGCTGTTGTAGCTACCGCTTGCCTGGATCTTGCTGCTGCATGCCGCAACGCCCTGCTTCTCCTCAAACCGCTCAAGAAGGGAAGCGAGGCCGGCCGGCTGTGACGCCACGTGCAGCATGTGCTCTGCCGGCTGGCGGCCGGGCGGGCAGGGGTAGCCGGCCGCCGCGAACGACGGGCCCACGCCGGCAGGCGTGCCCAGGTAGGCAAGACGGCCCTTGGCCAGCAGCAGCACCTGGGACAGGGAGTCAAACATGTCGGGCGACGGCTGGTGCAGGCTCATGATCACCACGCGGCCGTGCTTGGCGATGTCCTGGGCGGTGCGCATGAGGTTGTACGCGGTGTAGGAGTCAAGGCCGCTGGTGGGTTCGTCCATGATGACGAGGCGCGGGCGCGTGACCAGGGCCATGGCGATGGTGACGCGGCGGCGCTCGCCGCCGCTGACGCCGCGGATGGAGGCGCTGCCGCCGACGAGGCTGGTGGCCACGTGGGACAGGCCCAGCTCCGCCAGCACGCCATCAATGCGCTCCTGTGGGGAAGTTAAAACGGGTGTGATATGCAAAGCAACCGTTTGAGATATGGGTCGAGGCCATTCAATCGCTGCTGACGCATGCATGCCTTACTTGAAGGCTTCCAGGTTTCAAAGCATGTCGAAATCTTGCTAAAAGCAGCCCGCCGGCCCCAAGGACACACCTGGATATCTTCCGCCCCCAGGCTCCTGGGCAGCCGCAGCAGCGCGCTGTAGCGCACGCACTCCTCCACCGTCAGCGCGGGCAGCAGCACGTCCTTCTGCGGCACAAAAGCCGTCACCTTGCGCAGCACGCTGCGCCGCGCCTCGCCGCCCAGCGTGACGGAGCCCTCGACGCGCGCGCCGGTGCCCACAGACTCTGTGGCGCCAGAGAGGATGGACAGCAGCGTGCTCTTGCCCGCGCCGGACGGCCCCAGCACACCCAGCACATCACCCTCCTCCACTGTGCCGGAGATGTTTCGCAGCAGCACCTTGCGGCCCGCTGCCGCTGCCTCAGATGCCCGCTGCTGCGGCGCTGCTGCTTCAGGGGAGTCCTGGTCAACAGCCGTGCCCGCGCTGTTGTCGTTGCCTGTCTGGCGTCGGAGCGCAGCGCAGCGGCTGGCGGCGACTGCGGCGAAGCTGCGAGCAGGGCCAGCCGCGCGGCGCGCTGGGACTGAGCACGATATGCCGTCGAAGACAAAGGCCGCCGGCAGACCCGTCTCGTGCGTGGTGATCTGCAGAGGGGTCTGATCCAGGGGCGCCGCCGACGCGCCCTTGACGGCTGCAGTAGCGGGCGGTGGCGCAGCAGGTACTGCACACGGGCGGGCGGCTCTGCCGCTCGCCGAAAACATGCGCCACGCCGCAACGTTGTAAGAGAGCAGCAATCCACCAACCAGCAGCAGCATCGCTATCGGCAATACCGAGACGACGGCCACAGACGTTGCCGCGCTCCGCGCCGCGGCGCCGTCCCGCGGCTCGTCGCCGTCTGCGCCTGCAGGCGCTGCGGCGGTGCCGTCGACGACGGTTGTGGCGCCGGCCTGCGCCGGGCCGCGTGTGCAGTCACCCGCGCGGCACCGGAGCGACAAGCGGGGCCCAATACCCACGACTTCGCACCCGCCGCCCGCGTCGCAGGTCATCGCCACGGTGCTGTTGTCAAGCTGCCTCACCGGCCCCTGCAGCAGGCGCGGGCAGCCGCGGCCGGGCGCGGCGGCGTCCCCGCAGTGGCAGTATGTTGACGAGCAACTGAAGCCAGGGGCGGAGAAGTTGCAGCCCCTGGCAATGCAGACCAGCGGGCGGGTTGGCTGCTCGACCAGGCCGACCTCGAACTTGCAGAAGCGGTTGGCTTCCGGGCTGGCAGAGGGGTCGACGCTCAGCAGGCCGCCGGGCTGCGAGGGTTGCGGCAAGGTGGGCGGCGCAGGTATGCTTTCAAGCGGGTTCAGCTGGGGAGATGGCCAAAGGGCTAGCATTGTCTCACTTGGCTTCTTGTAGCCTAAGACAAGTGATGTTGTTTGTTGCAAGCAAAAACACATGTCTGGCGGCTGTGCTTGTCAATCCACGGTCAACAGGGCAAGCAGCACGCCATCAAATTTGCTCAGGCGCATTTGCTTGCAAGGCAACTGGCAGGCGATACCTGCAAAGCTCATTGCGCACCTACCTGCAGGCCTATTGGGCCATCAACAGATGGCAGCTTCTCCCCGCGCACGTTGCAAAACACGGCCACGCCCGAAGAGCCTTTGCTCAGGAACCCCTGAAGGTCGCATTGGTATCCTTTGTAGCTGGCCGACTCGCCAAAGAAGGGGCTGGTGTCGCAAATCGAGCGCGCCTGCCCAGCGAACGCAGGGCACACCCCTGATTCCGTGCAGACGAAGCAGGTGCGCCCCGACCAGCCGGGGGCGCAGGGGCAAGAGCCGTTGGCGGCCGGGGCCGTGCCGGGCGCACAGCGGGACAGTGGCCCCTTGGGGGCCGGCCGTGACAGCTGCAGCAGCCGGCGTCGCAGGTCCAGCCGGCCAGGCAGGTCAGTGTGCACAGGCACGATGCCCGGTCTTCCACTTGCCTGCGACAGGGTTGGCATGTTTGAGCACGCACTACGTGATTGTATTGCAAGAGCACCGCAGCCAACGATGGGAATCAGCGGAATCAGACCAGCAGAAGCTCTGCTGTCACTCGCCTGCATGGCACTCTAACTGCAGATAGACCGCCACGCAGGCTCCCGGTGGCCTGAGTGGTGGAGGAGGCACACAAGAAAGCTTCTGTGAAGGGCGGCGGTGAGTAGCATCCTCATATTCCAGGTGCACCCTCACCGAAGGGCCGCGCGAGGACAAGGGTGCTTTCCAGGCGGCGCCGTAGAGCGGGCGTGGCTCTGGGGCTGGGAATTAGAAAATGAGTTTGGCGGGTGATGTGAGCACATACTGCTGCCAAGGTCACGTGCGCACCGAAGTGTCCAAGTGGGTGGTGCGAGCAGGCGCGCGCACTTCGCAAGACGCCACTAGCACCTCCACCGGTCCGTGCAGCTTACAATACCATGCGTGTAAATATCAATTTTTGCACTTCAAGTTGACACGCCGCGCGCCAGCCCCCATAGCTGCGTCGAGGACGGTTGCCAACTTCGTAAATGAACAAACGCCGTCCTTGACGTGCTCACCTCCGATGACGAGGCCCAGCAGACCCATCATCAATATCAGTATCATTATAAACCCTTGAAGCCACTGTGAAAATGCGAAATGGCCGATTGCAGCGAGAGGCTGATCGTGGGCGCCCTCGACAACGCGGTACGTACGTACGGCGAATTAAGCCGAGCAAGGAGTTGATGGTATAGAACCTTGTTCTTGAAGTGCGTCGGTGTGGCGGCAAACTGTGATGGTTGTGTGGCAGGGTGATTTGACAGTTGTGGTTCCCCAGCAACACAGGTCCGCACAGACCTCGCATCGACACGTGTTACACAGCAGCCATGTGAACTGCACGATAGGCATACGTACAGCCATGAAAGGGAAGTGTGATGGAGACGGCAAGGGTCTCACACAAACACAGCAGGAATGGGAGGGCACAGTACGTGCTGGATCGCTGCAATTGGTTAACCTCGTGTGGCTCAACAGCTGGCCGCACCTGCCGCCTATGCCGATACTGCTAACAGATGTTCACAGCCGCCGCAAAATATCAGGCCAGGCTTCACCTAATGGAGCACTTGCCCTAAAATCAACGGTCGGTGCCCGTCACTTGGAAGCTTCTCCCACACAATGCAGCTGCAGGCGCAGCCCCCTCTCTCAACCGGCACCCCATCGTGGTTCTGGGACTCTTCGAACTCCAGAAACTTGAGGGTCTCTGTAGCATTACAGTCGGTGATGGTTTGGAAACCAGCTGCAGGGCCGAGCGCGAGCCCGCCGTGCTCCCCTGTGCGCGCGTATGCACCCCAAGAAGGCGTCCATGAACACCGACGATATGCATGGCGACGGGCGTGCTATTGCACGTCTGGCCGATAAGCAGGCAGCGGCACCTCCTTTGGCTGGAAGTGGCCGCTAAGTAAGGGATCTGAAAGGTTGCCGTTTGGCAGGTCACTGCATTGATGAAATTGCGTGTAATGACGATGCTGCATGCTTGCGTGCCGGTGCACCGCCCGTGTGGCGACGCCCCATGCACAGCAACGCGTTTGGGTCGTGGGAAATCAAGTATCAAATCGCTCGCAGTGGATGGATGCACAGCCAAAGTGCTAGGTTCAATGTGGAACTACGCTGAAAAACAGTGACAAGCTGTTCGCAAGAGGCCAGCGGCAGCCCTGATGCGCGCAGACACGCGCGCGGCACGAGGAACGATGCTGGCTGCAGAACATTGCGGAAAAACCGCCCGCCCCCCATCCCAACAGACAGGCTCTCCCCTAGCTTAAGAACTAGAAATGGTCAGGATGCAATGCGAGCTGAAACACAGGTGCAAGGTGGAATGCATATGCATCGCTTGTTCCTGCAACCCCCTCCTGGCGCAACCGAGCCCGGGCGCTTCGAGAACAGCCTACTCAACCAGGCGAGGGGACATGGCTGTGTCTAGCCTAGCCGGTGCAGCGACCCCCTCATTGCCCAGCGCTCTGGGCTCGCCCGCCGCCCTGGCGCTGCTGTTAACACCACCGACGCCGTTGTCGCCCCCGCCATTGAATGCCGAGGCGG